TATAACATAAACAAAAAGTAGTTTAATAAAATTTTGAATATATGACACTAAAAACCTTGTGACATGTGCAGTAAAGGATACCCATGGTAATAGGGTTAAACAGTCAGCCAGTTTTATTATTCTTTATGTTTTTATTTAAACCTATGTGCACAGGTGGAGGTCAAAGTGCACATGCTACAGAATACCATTCAACATGATGTTATGTATTTGATGTCAGAATTATTAGCTATTCGTTTTACCCTACATTGATGACTTAGCAACAGTTTGTAGTAGAGGAGAGTAAATACCAAATAAATGGGGATACTGAAAAAATACACGTATCAGAAGTTCCAGAATTTACTAAAATGCATTATGCAAAGTATGCAATGGACAAAGCTCTTTTTTTGCTTCACATGAACATCACCTTGCACTTCCACTTGTTAGAGTTTAAGTTAGAGTGATGTTGTCAATTTGCAGACATATCTTGAGTACAACTACTTTTGTAACACATCTGATTTTGTGTGTTCTACAGACTTGTACATTTTACTAAAAAGCTTGCCACATGTGTTGAATTCAGAATTATAGTTAACAATATTTCTTCAATACAGGGTTGGTCCAATGGACTGACCCCGTGCACATTCACTTCAACTATTAAGTCTTATTTCTGGTCTTCCTGTTGAATTGTAATGGCATGTTTCGACCAGTGAATTCTTCGGCCGTCACTATTTTTTTTTAATGTTTTATATTACGCTCGACAATGGCTGGAGAATTCACAAGTTGAAATGTTGTGAAAATAATAATACCATTAGTCACAGAACCATTATTTCTGATATGAGTGTAGTAACTAATTTTTTTTTTCTTTACCACTACTACTGATAAAAGTTGTTGCAGTAAATTTCATGTGTTTTTAGAATTGACTTTGTAAACATGTGAAACTTTTTCCCCAAGGTTATCAAATTTTGACTTTTACTAATGTAAATTTCTTCATGTTAGTTTTCTTTAATGATTCTTTTTATACTGTAACAAGTATGTAGCTCTTCAGCCAAGGATATTATTTCTCTCCATAGTGACATACCAAGAAAATTGACAGTTCTTCCATTATATTTTGTGAATACTTATCCCAACAATATGTGTACCTTGTGAAGAAAACTGGAAGCAATATTTAACTCGTAGTAAACAAGAACATTGGGAATAATTTCTCTTGATCTTCAGTGCCATTTGTCCTTTTATTTGAAGCATCACAAGTTTTATAATGACCAGAAACTATTAAACTATGTTAAATGTCATTAAAAATGCATAAATTATAAATATAATATTACAAAAGAGGAATAAAGAAAAGTAACGAACATGAGAAAATATTTAAAGGGTTTGCTGTTAAACTTGCAGTAGTAATAGATCTGTGTCATACAATCTATTTTTTATTAATTCAGAAAACAGCTTTTATTTTATTCATCATTGCACCATTAATGGAAATAAGCCACATTAAAGAGCTAATTCACATATACTATTAAATCTAGAATTAAAAACAAATGTCTAGTATTACTTAAGAATTTTTTTACACTTTACATAAATGCTATTTATTTTTTGTTCATATTTTTTGTCTTTCTCTTCCAGCTGATCCAAGGGAAGCTAGCTGACATGTACACAACTTTAAATGCATGTCGTTCCTACCTTTACAGCACTGCTAGGGCTGTAGACAAAGGTCATATTAGCTCTAAAGTAAGCTGAAATTATATCTATAAAATGCTCTTTTCTTGATTTTCTTGCTTATAATTTAAAATGATAAATTTAATGTGAACCAATTTTTAAATTTTCCACCTTGTTCTGTTCCTTGGATACTTGTAATAGAATTTTGTTTTAAGGTACTGGATGAATATATTTTGGAAGATCTATACAGCTTTTTTAAACATAGAAGATGTTCTATTTAATGAAAGTGAGTATTGTTGTTTTAACTTTCTGGGTGAATATTTTTTGGAAAATTTTATACAAATTTTTTAACAAAGAAGTTGCTCTATTTAGATTGATATAAAAACAGAAGTAAGGTTAACCAACAGTTTTATACAGTAAATACTCATAGCTCCAAATCCTTGCTATTAACAATTTTGGCTTGCATTAAATGAAAAGACTTAATGCAAATACAATCAAAAGCAAGCTTGCTTTTTTTTTCTCTCTTATAATCATTATTGGAGCTTCATCACATGTTTATCTTTGCTAAAGTTTTTTTATTTCTCAAAACAACAAACATAAGTATGAGAAAAAGGTTTAAAAAATAAAATGAAAAAATGTTGCAAGACCGTTGTTGTTAGTTCAGTTAATGATTTTACAGCCATCAACTAAAGGCATACTGGGTGTTATAAAAATGTATGCTATGTTACAGAAGAATAGCTTGTACATCAGAAGCAAAGAAATTGTATTTGCACCATTACTCCATAATTTTAGCATTTGCACATAAAAAATACATAAATAATTATTTGCTAAATATTTAACTTTATTTAGACTGCAGCTAACTTTCATTTCATATAAGAATTATTCTAAAAGAATGGAGACTAAGATCTAGCAGAGTTTGAACCCATTAAAGTACTTAGGTGGTTTAGCTACCTAAGGTGCTGTTTTTTGAATGCCTTAAATCTCAGTTTTCATATTATTGGTTACCAAGGTCATAATTCAATACAACTTTTGAGCTATGCCAGTGAACTTATAAAGCTTAGTATATTAGTGATTGGCATAACCCAGAAACCTTGCCAATATTCTGATCTTAATAACTAGTAAAGTAGTGTGAGATGTAAAGCATTCAACACACTATAAATTAAATAAATAAAACATTGCCTCATGAGTCCATTCAGTTTCAATTTTTGCCTCTTTAGAATAATTGTAATTTCATGGAACAGTATAATCACTTAAAATTTCATTTTGCTGAAAGTGAGTTCAGGTCACTGTTTTCTTGGCATCCAGGTTGTTAGAATTCAAGATTTAATTTCATTTTGATATTGATAAATTCATAATCTTTTTATACTGGAATGTTTTAACTGCTCTTTTGTTGCTTTCAGTCTTCTTAAACTTGGTGAACAACAACTGAGAAAAGACTGAAACTGTATAAAGTTACTGTCATGTTGCAAAGTTGTTGTTTTTTCTTGTTTAACTTTAATGTAGATTTTTTACCACTTACGTATGACGGTCAATAAGAACACAAAACTTTCTTTGTATTTTCATTGTAGGATTGTGCAGGTGTTATTCTTTACTGTGCAGAAAAAGCAACCCAGATGGCATTAGATGCAATACAGTGTTTAGGTAAGTATGTCACTCTTGATCAAGGCAAGTAGCAATTGTTTTATGTACTTGATTTTATATATTCTAAAAATATTGCTGAAAAAATTATGAATACATTCTGAGTGCAATGTTGCATAAAATATTCCAAAATACATTTTAATTTAAAATTCCCCATTTCTCATTCTTACTCTCCATCAACATTTTCTTTAAGCTCATACTTGAATTTACTACTATCAAGGTTAAAGTTTAGATTAGGTCACTTTAGATAGGGTTACTTTATATGAACATCTTTAATGTTGGAATGACTAACATATGAAAATAGTTTTATTAAATAACTTTTATGATAAAAGAGTATTCTAGTATTTAGCAGCACTTACTTCAACCTCGTAAATAAACACGAGATAATATGTTCTAAATGTATATTAATTTCTAAGCATTTAACTAAGTTTCAAGTGAAGTTGTTTATGTACAGTCATGGCTGACTCTAGTTCAGGTGGAATTACTAGTCATAGAATTTTAATATAAAAAGAAATCTGAGAAATACTTATTTAAAAAAACATACTGTGCTGACTTTCAAAATAGGTTTGGAAAAAAATTATTTTTTACTAAATAAATTACTTAAACTCTGAAACTTCAACAAACTTCCTCATGAGTTTGTCTCTCTATATAGTATTTTTATAAACTGATAAGTTTAACATTCTTACTGTTGTGAGTACAGGATGTTGAGTTTGTAGTCTGCCTAGATACTGTGTTTATAAACTGTAAACTAATTAATTCAAAATACAATAACAGCAACTTTTACAGCAGGCAAGTTTGATTGTTATTATTACAATGTTTCATCTAAGTAAATCATGTGAAAGTTACATTGAAAAAGGCAGTTGAATTTCAAAGAATGTTACAGACTTTTGGTGGTGAGGACAAGTTTGTAGGGGGTCTTAAATGAGCTTTTTAGTAAAATGAGGTGGATAAAATATTAATATAGATGGGGGGTCTTGGATATTTATTTAACATTGACTTTGAGGAATTTATCAGTAGTGCTTCAGTTATTTTTCTTCATTTGATGTCTGGTTATCTTCAGATGATTTCAACATTGTTTTCTGTGTTAACTATAATATTTTTACTGTTGTTAATACATTATGCTGAGTTTGTGATCTTCTTCAACACTATTTAAAAACTATTAATTATATCATTTTTACTATTGTCAGTAGATGATGCTAAATTTGTAGTCTGCTTGGATATTGTATTTATAAAACTGTTAATTATAATATGTTTATTGTTTTAAAATTAAAAACAAGATCAACATTTAAAATGCACAATAAAATTTTAATTTGGCCAACAGCCAAAATTAAAAAGACTCCACATGTTTCAGTAGCTTTACACTACCATCATCAGGAGTAAAACCTACATGACAAGCAGGTAATTTTATAAAATAAAGATTTAACTCATTGTAATCTATGAGGGTGGTATGCATATTGTACACAAGAAGTCAATATTTCTTTCCAAAATTATGCATTATTGCCAGCTAATCCTTCATCTCTAATTAACAAAGTATTATTTATTTTCCAACACAAAATTTCTGTTGATTCTTTAATATTTAATTCACTTTGGCCATTAGGTTCATTTAAAATTATTGTTTCATGCCATTATATTGAATGACTTGTATCAACAATGTGTTCAGCAAGAGGAGAAATGAGCATTTTTTTGGTACATACATAACTTTTATGTTCATTAAGACAATATTTCAAATTACGTTTAGTTTGACCAATGTATTTTTTGTTGCATTCACAACTAACTTGATATATATACCTTTTTTCCTCTAAAATGTCTTTTTTTATCTTTGATACTAGGAAGTATTGTTTTAATTTTGTTAAATGGGTTAAATATAGGAATAAAATTATTTTTTCTGAATACATTGGTGATTTGGTTAGTTATATCTTGTATATATGGTAATATTACTGTACTGTTAATTGATGTCTTTCATTTTAAAATTTATTGCACAAGTTGCAATAATTTAATCCTCATGTTTACTGTTGTAAATACATGATGCTAGGTTTGTAGTCTTTCTGGATACTGTTGTAAGTACATGATTCTAAATTCACAGTCAGTTGAGATATAGGGTATTTATAAAAGTGTTTACCCATAACATTGTTAACTTTGTCAGTATATGATGCTCTGTTCATAATATTCTTTAATAAGATGTATTTATAAACTGTATTAGCTATATTATACTTTTCTTTCTTAATTCAGTGTTTTTCTAAACATCATACTGTTCTTTTTACATTTTGAAGAATATACCTTAAATAAATGTCTTTGTGAAGCATACGGTCTATAGGGGGAAAAAAAGTACAAAATGTTTCTTTTTCAGCTAATGGAGGAATATTTTCTTTAGAAAAATTCCTGTAACACCTTTACTGATAAAGCTGTAATGCATTCGTTTTTCTGTTGCAGTTTTAATGACTAAAGCAGTACACTTGTGATTTTCTCTGTTACAAATTTCTGCATAATAAGATTCGGTGTCTGTAGATGTGTCACATAACACCTCCTAAACCGATGGTCACACCTACTTGTAACTGGTACTAAACAGATCGTAACTTGGTTAAATAATTTAAAATTGCGTTACAGGAGTAATGATCATTAAACTGAAAAAGTGCAAAATAGTACTTTAAGCATTAAATTTGCATTATAGTGGCCCTGTAAATGTGGGCCATAGACCCATGGGTTTGCTAGTGCTGATTGAAGATGCACAGTGTTTATACTTCTGTTAGTTTCAAATTGAAGCCATATAGTAATTTTATTTATCATACTTGTTTATTGAAGCAGAACCATAGAAAAGTACCTGCCACATCTTTACTGATGGACACTGTAAAGTAGAAACACTTCTTTTATATATTTTTTTACTGCTAAGTTATTCAGTAGGTACATTTCTCTTTAAATTAGCTCTATAGTAGGTACATTTATGTTAAACCTCTTCTTACTGAAAAATTTCCTTCATAAAATCGTTTTTGTTAAAGAAATAATGTATTATTTCTAATAAATTTACCAAATCAAGCTATAAACTAAATTTATTTATGTGAGATGATTAGTGATTGAGTTTATACAGAAATTGTATTTATGTTTAACCTATTACAAATTAACTTTATGTTTAGGTATTTCTGTTGAACTGTTTTTATATTATAGGGATAATACTGATGAAATTTCTTTGAAGTTGTTTAGTTTAGTAGCTCTATTAGAATTATTGTTTAGAGCTCATAAAATATAAAGATTTCTAGGTCATATTGGAAATAGCTGTTACTGGTTTTATCCTGGTGAGGTTAAGTCATCCTTATATTTTTGGTTCTGCATGAGACAGGTTGATATGTAGGTCTTTTGTGGTGATTATTTTAAGAAGCTTGATGATTTAGTTTCAGCTCATATAGGTTAATTTCGGCTTCACCAGAACAAAGCTATAAACACTGACTTCTAAATATAGCACTGAAATGCACTCTACTTGGCTGAGCAGGAAGAATGGTTTAGGTTACCTTGTTCTGTATTTACAGAGCAGTAATGAAAGTTTTGTCCTTGTTTGTTGACAGAATTGATGTTGAAGGTTCTTAGTTTCTCATTAACAATCACCATGTGTGTTTTCTAATTGCTCACTAACAGAACCGAATGTTTTTTAATTTTGTAAAAACACTTTCTGAATTATCATTAGCTTGCTTTCCACCTTTTGATGTTAATCTTGACTAAATTAGTAAAATGTTATTTTGATTAGGCATCATAAAATATTGTTAACAAAATGAAATATCAGAATCATTGAGACCAAAATAGTTTACTTGTTGTAACTAATGCAGACTCTCTTTCAGTGCTTGATATCTAATCAACTTCAAGTGTTTACTCAGACACAAGATTCATTATAATTTCAGTTAAGTTGCGAGACAAATAGGATTGGTTGAGTTACATATTGTAACTGATCTTATTGTACTTGTAAACTTTCACAGTGTTATGAATTATTCATTTGCAATTATTTTAGTATTTATAGATCAAATGAAATATTTCCAAGTATAGTAGTTTTGAATTTGTTTAGTCCTGAGTTTCTGAAGAAATATAACTTGTAGACTATACGTGTTATAGAACTGTTTTTCTAAATGTCTTGTGAATTAATAACTAAAAGTAAGAGAATGATATATCAAAACATGTTTAATTGTTTAAAGGTTGAGAAATTCTTATTTGTAAGGATCTGTAAAAATCAAAATGGGTAATAATTTTGTTATGGGTGTTTTACTGTTGTGCACATCCAAATTATCTGAAGCTTGACCTATTTGATATTATAGTTTGTGAAAATATAACAACTTTTACTTGTATAGATCATATATTTTAGTACTCTTACTCAAATGCTGTGTTCTCTACTATGCAGCTTCATCTTATCTTGGTTTCAGTTTTGTGTTTTCAGATTTATCATGCTTGCTTGTTACCTTTATGATGCTAAGTTTTTTGTTTTTGACATTTTCAGGTGGCAATGGTTACATCAATGACTATCCAACAGGACGATTGCTCAGAGATGCCAAACTTTATGAGATTGGAGCAGGCACAAGTGAAATCAGACGATTGATTATTGGACGTGCTCTTAATTCAGAATATTCCTAGGTTATGTATTATTTAAGATGTTGGATATGTTTAACACAAAGTTTCTGAATAATTAATGGTTTCTGTGGTGATAATTAACAGCTAGGTGATTACTGCAGTTCTAGTGACAGTTAGAATATTTGTTAATTTTAGTAAATTACTACATATTAACAGTTTTAACTTTCAGGTTTAAAAATCATAAAACATCACATCACACAAGAAACACAGAACTAAAATGAATATTAATCAACAAAGGAAAAATCATCTAAGAATGAAACTTAACATACTCATGTTCTTGTCTCAGGCTTGAGTGATCAAAATTAACAGGGTAGCAGTTCAATTTTCTACTTAGTTAATTACAGAAAGCAACATACAGGGTGAAGTAAAACTGACTATACAGTTGTTTCATTTAGAACCATTAGTTAATTGGTTTCAGTTATCTTTGTAATATTTGCTTTAGTACCACATGTATAGTAATTTTTGCTTCACCCTGTATAAATGAGAAAATAATCTAAAGAAAAATGTATGTTCTCAACCCACAACTAATTTTTTTACATTTTGAATTTTCATCAGCGGAAATACAGTTCCACCCAAACCAGTTACATTGCAATCTCCTTGTTACATCTACATATAATAATTGTTACTCCTACAGTTTTACCTTACCTGCTTAAGTTCACTTTATCAAGTCTTGATTTATTGTTCAAAACTACCTTCCATCTATTTTTTCTGTGTTTCTGTTTTTAACTCTCAAAAAATGGTAGGTGTTTCATTTTTGAATGAAGCATTTTAGTTGTACTCTTAAAGGTGTACTACCCCTTATCAATTGTAATAGTTCAATACAATATGGCAGTAGTTATGATACTTGTCTCATAATCATATTTTTATCATTAATTAAAAATGTTAAGAAACTATTTTCATTAAAAGATGAATTATACGTATTCATGAGAGTATAATACTCAGTTAATGGGTGATGAAGTTTGAACACAGTTTGGCAACAGAATCTCCAGGCTCATGTTAGTAACAAATATTCAAAATATTTGTATTTTTTTTATAGCTCATTTGATTGTTCAAGAATGCACATTCTAAAAGTTATTGCATCATTTTATAAAGTATTTATTCCGTAACTGCTTAGTTCTTTAGAACAGTGGTTCCCAGTTGGTGGTCCATGAACATGTTTGCTACTGGTTTTTATACACACAATGCTTGAAGAAATTTCCTATAAATAGCCTATAAATACTTCTTAGTAATATAAAAGCATATTTTTGTTGTAAATGTATATTCTGTGATGTATACACTAATACAAAAAATACTTATTAGAGCTATGATTACACAGGAAGAACTTCTTGTTTGATTATGTAAATGCACCAAAATGTTTGAATTTTTATTACCTAGCATGTTGGTGATTATTTTAGGTATTTACTTCATTATGAAAGCAAGTCCTTGTAAAAATTTTGGGGTATTTTATTTCCCTCCCCCCAAAGTTTTGAAAATATTATTTATTAGCTTTTTTATGTGTTGAATGTAACTGTCTATAAGAATAACAACCAGCAGGATCCTACTCCCCTGATAACCAAGTGTGAAAAATTAAAAAAATTGATAATGAACTAAGAACTTTGGAAGAAGATTTGAAAATGTGAGGAAAATGTTTCCAAAAACGTAGAAAACATTTTTATAAAAGTTAAGGATTGGAATTATTTATATATACATAATCATTCAATTTGTGCAAGCTTTCATGTTTTAAACCAACTGAATTGTTTGTTCATGAAGATTAATTTTTTATTATAGGCTAAGGTCATGCTGAATTTAATTTTCTTTGCTCACATCTTGAAAGCTATGTATGAAATGTTGGATGTAGAATTTAATAAATGTTCTGCTGGAACATTATTTAACACAAATGTAAAGTACTCGACCATTCTTGGCATTTGCAAGTGCACCATATGCCAGCAGTAACAAAGAGGAAGATTGAAATGGTTCTCAAATTCCTAAGAATGAGACAAATATTAGATTAAGAGGTTCATGAATCCTTCAAGGGCATACTTATGAATCCTTGAAAGTTTAATGGTGTTCAGAAGTTGGGAATTGAAAACGTATCTTATAGAGAGGCACAAGCCAATTTATAATATAGACATAGAAAATAACATTTTTAAACATACTTGAAACATTCTTAACTCTTTTTTGTTAGGAAAAAAATATGTGCTCTTTAATAATATGATATGTAATCAACGTGACTGAGTGAAGGAGACCACTAAGTAATGTAACCCTAATTTATGTACCTCTACAACTTCAAACGTTCAGATCTCTTTGAAGAATTCTGATATTCATTGTGAGAAGACTTTGGTAGTTTTGTGATCAACACAAATATTTAATCTTAGAAAATACTGCTAGTTATTATCATTGCTTTTTAAGTTATGGTAAGTGCTTCTGTATTTGTTTACATTACTTTGAATAAATTATAAGTGGCTCCTTCTGTTTTTTTTTTCTGTGATGTTTACATATTGACCCATGAATCTTAAAACTGTCAACATCTTTTCCCATGTTTCTTTGATTTCACATTTTACTGTAGAGACTGTTTAGACATAATCTTGGATCCATATATTCAGTTGTAGCTAATTTGGCAGTAGTAAATAGGATTATTTTGCTATATCATTAATCAGTGTTTGATTTGGCATTATGGTAGGTTAGCAGAAATATCGATATACCTACCTAAAATAATTAAAAAGGTCATAGAAATGACAAAAAAAATTGTAAAGAACTCAGAAAAAGATTTACTAAAAGTGTAATGAATGCTGAAATATATTTTAGCAATACTAGCGAATTTCCTTCTGGAATTAATAAGTGAAGGGAAAACATTATATATACTGAATTAAGTCATACAAGTGTAAATATTATTTAACTACTAGGAGGAATGGAACGTTAAAATCTAACAATGAAAGAGAGGGGGAATTTATAGGCACAATTTCAAAAAATTGTTAAATAAATCTTAAAACTAGTAAACTTGCATGAATTCAAAATCAAAAGTACATAGACAGATTTATAAATTAGTTTTGTTGCCAAGTTGTAGATATGTAAAGTTAATTTTTCTGAGAGCAATGAGTGACAAAATGATATTTACTGTTACCATTGCCAATAATACTGAAGTGCTTATTAGTCTTAGTTATTATAAAAAGGTTATGTGTGGAAATTCATGTTTAAGAATTATTTTGGAGAATAAAATTGTCTTTGAAAGTTTGTGATTCAACATCTTCATATATAATTCCATTACACTCAAAAGTATGGTTTTAAGGGTAGTGTCAATAAATTTGCTCACCCTGGCTGTTAGGTTTCATTCCAGGCATGTGACTTTAACATGGAAACCTTATTTTATTCAAATGTTGGTATATGTATAAATAAAAAGTTAATTTAACTAATGATTGACTTGACTTCCAAAACTTTGAAAATAACAGATCATGTTGAATTAAATGTATCCACACTGGGGAAAGTTACACTATCTATATAGGATTCCATTAATATAAATGGGCTGGATTGATGCCATTTCTAGCAGCATTTACATCAGAAAAAGAGCTGTGTATCTGCAAATGCTGTCTTTTACTCATTTGACTTTCCAAAGACTACTACTGGTATTTATCACGCCTAAAAGGCACAATTATATACTCGGAAACACCTAATAGACAGTAGCAGTTATTACATCATATGCCGTTGTTAGCAGTAATCTCCTACAAATCACATTAATCATGACATCAAAAGTTATTACCTTATAAATCTCCAATGGCACAACGTCAGTTGAACCCAATAGTTTCGTTAGAAGGAGAGTGGGGTGTTAGACTCAAGTTGCATTCGTTTTATGGTAGCTAGGCTTCCACTACCATAGGACCCATCTCTGCCGCTTTTAACAATCGGCATGTGCTTGATGCAACTGATCAGGACAAGAGTTCTGTTGACAGATGTGATACAGATAACTAAATAAAACTGTAGATCCATTGATGGTTATTATATGAAACTAAGTTTTTTTTGCAAATAGATATGTAGTCCACAGGATATGCATATGACTGAAGCTGAAGTAGGTTTATTTCTGTTACAGAAGCTGCACAATAAATCTATTCTTGTTACATTTCCTGACTGAAGCTCTGCAGTAAATAATTTATACTTGCTGACAGAAGCTGTACACGACATAATATATTCCTGTGACAGACACTTGTTGACTGAAGCTGCATGCATATACAATACATAATCTATTCTTACTACGTTTCCTTACTGGAGATGTAAAGTAAATATTATATTCCCGCTACACTTGTTGGCTGAAGCTGTACAGTAAATAAACTTGTTACATTTCCTCGCTAAAACTTTAAAATAGATGATCTACAGTGGCGTAGGAAGCAGGGGGACGTCCCCCTTTTCCCTCTGTCCCAGTAAAAATGCACCTAAATGAGAATAACTCGAGGAAAAGCAGGAGAATACATCAAATTTAACTCAGAACCCAAGAGCTTCCACGGCCATTAAGACGAGCCCTTCGCTCGATCAAATAAACATTGACCCCCTTCTTTATTTGCCTGCTACACCCATAATCTATTACTGTTACATTTGTTGGCTGAAGCCATTTATTATGGTTATTTCTACGTAGGCATAGCGAATGAATCTATACGTGTAAGTCTATTTATGTTAAGCTTTTAGTATTTGCTTTGTGAATTAAGGAAGTTTTATTTAACGTGAGTTTTGAGTTATTTTCTTACTCTTATATTTTATCATTTCCATTATTATACTTCAATGTTTAACTGATACGTCAAAAGGAAAGACAAAATATTTAAGACTTTCATAGATTGTTATTTTTAACATATTATCAGCAGTATATTACGGTTTATTTCGTTCGCAAAAAAAAGTTTTAGAATTTCAACTAACTCTGTTGTAAATATTCTTTCGCTTTCTTCCTTCCCTCTGGTCAGTAGTTCAACAGAAATCGTACTATTAACATGGGAAGTTTGCAACTAATCAGCATTAAACCTCTTCTGACAGGAGTGATAAAGATAACTAAATAACAAAACTGTAGATTCGTTGGATTATTGAATAGTTTTAAGCACTTGTAAAAGTCAAGAAAGCATAAATATTTTCCAAACCATTCTTTTTATTAAGTGTTGTTAAACAATGAACACATTTGCATAATTAAAAAAAAAGAGCTTGACATGATTCAAGTCATTATAAACATCTAATCTTCAAACTTTTTTTGCATTTAAGTTAGTCTGGCTAGGCTATCAGAAAGCGGAACACCGATTCATTACACTGATTCATCAGATCCGGTCATTCAGAGACATTGCCTAATGTCAAGAATGCTATGACATAAGCCTCGTTTGTTTATTTTTTTGCATAAAGGTGGATGATATCAAAGCAAATATGTTAGAAAGTGATAAACTACCATTAAAGTAAGTGAGTGTATTCTCATAAGTCTGGGTTTTGCATGACAAAAACTAGTAGTGTTATCTCCGTCTAAGATAGCGTTATTTTTATAAATTTCCTTTACATTTTACTCTAAACTTTTCAAATTCTTGAAGAAAACATGAAACAAAACCAGTCTTAAATGTTTTCGTGGACAATTACGTAACTTTACGGTAAAATTGATAACATTTTAATAGCTTTATCTACTAAATAATAGCACTTTGATTTTCTTTTTTTTAAAGCAACATATAGAATATTAAGGAAAATGCGTATAACAAAAGTATTTGATGATTTTAAAATGTTTTGTTGCTTTTTATTTTAGTGCAAAGCTTCACAATGAGCGGACACCAAATTTTAACGTTAATAAGTCTCGAAGCTAATAACAGGGGAAGATGATAAATTCAAGGGAATGGGGAATAGGTTGAGTGTGAAAGTATCACGTTTAAGAACCATCCACAAAGCAAATCATATACAGCAAGTGCAGTGCTTCATTTTGACAAAAATATTACTGCAGGGGTTAGTGCCGTTAAATTAAAACAACACTTGAAATCTTTAAAAAAAAAGAAAAGCAAATTAACTTAGAACTTCTGATCCTCTATGTCGTGACTTCATTTATTAATCTTTCTGGCTAGTAATGAGAGTTGTCATTAACTTATTAAAACTACCGGACTGGTTAATCCTATCTTTGGGCATGCCAAAAGCATTAATGCCGTAATTCTTAGAAGGAGGAATCACGTAGAGTTCTTGATGAATCGGCTTATGTGCTTTTAGATCAGCTTCTCCCCCCTCTTCTTCTTGTAGGAGCATATATGTGGGAGACAGGGTGATGTCAGCAGCGGTCTGGATCTTCGTGCCGGGCTTGATGCCTGAACTAGTATGACCACTGAAAGAAGTTTAGCTTAGTTAATTAAACAATGGACGTAATGTTAAGATGAAATAATTTCAAGTAACGTAAAATAATGAATCATCACACTAGACACCCGGTGAAAAGGATTAAGCTGTATTGTGTGACATACAAATTAACATTGCTCTCTTTCTGTTTGTGACATTGTTATCAAAGTTATTAAATAATATGTTAATCAGTATTAACCTGATTTAACCCTCTCGCAACGGCCATCCTTTAATGCGCATGTCACGATGTTTTAAGTAACTTACATTTAAAATTTAATTAAGCTACTTTTTATTCTCTTATACCAATTAATATAACATTACATCTTAGTTACTAATCAGTATTTCAATAATGTATACATTTTAAGTTCTTAATTTTATAAGACAATATTTAAAAACATCCTGAATTTCTCCTAGCGAGATAAATGTGACTTTTTTTCTCTAGGCATCCCCTCTTCTCTAATTTATTTACCACCCCTCCAAGAAGTACGAAATTCAACGTAAATTACTTGCTCAGGTAAAGCATAATTTTCATAGTCTTCAATTTTGTTTGGTTACATAGCCATCAAATAGAAAATCAGATCCTTCTTGCCACACTCGCCTGTCACATCCTCTCTTTCAGGATTTGTCAGTAGTTCTCTCTGAGGTTCAGTACTATATTATTTCATCTATCAAATGTCGTATTATACTACGTTGTTTTCTCTACAGAAAAGTTTTAATTTCTCTTTCAATACAAACTTCGTTCCCACGGATGTAATAATAACAGTAAAAAATTTGATGAGTACAAAAATTGACATTTACTCTTAGAATATTACGTATTTACTAAATCATTCAGCGAATACGAATACTTTAATTTTCCCTACGAAAATATTCGAATAGAAGTACGAAAACTCCTAAAGCTGCATTCGAATACAAATACCCCAAGTCTGCTAGAAAAGTGTAGTGACCTAGCTAAGCTTCAAGTGTTTAAAATTACTATCCCTTTTTTTATGATGTTCTATCACATCTCTTGACTTAGAAAGAAAGACCTGGCCAGAAAATTAAAAGTATCTACAGGTGAAATATCAGAGTCAGTTTTAAAAGCGTTAAATAAATAGCTTGTTATACCACTTGTCTGTGGTATTCAAAGACACAGTAACATAATCAACCTTATGGCGCATTAATATTTGCATAAAATCTGTCCTAATCGTCCAGCTACTTTATAAACAAACGGGGATTATAAGTTGTTATAAAACATCAGTTATTATTAACGTCTGATCGATTTTACTCATCATCGGTGACTTTTAACATCAGGTTCATTTCATTTTTTATCAGTAATAGTTAACCTCAGATTAAATTTTTGATATTATCTGTGAATTTTAACGACAGGTTCATTTCAGTTACCATTAGTAACTTATAATGTCAGATTTATTTCTGTTATCATCAGCCACTGTTGACTGATTCCTTTCAGTCATCATCAGTGACTGTTAACGATATATTCATTTCTGTTACAACAGGTTCATAAATGCATGTATTATCAGTGATTGTTGACGAGAGATTCACTTCAGTTATCATTATTGACTGTTGGCTGGTTAATTTCTGTTAACAACAAATTATTGTTTGTCTTCACCAAAGATTGTTGATGACTATGGTTTATTTCTGTTAATAACAAATTCGTTTTTGTCTTCACCAGAGATTGTTATCGACTAATTCATTTCACCAGGCATCATTATGATTGTTAACAGCAGATTAATTTCAATTATCATACCTGACTGTTAACGATTAATTAATTTCAGTTACTATAACTGGAGGCCTGGCATAGCTCGCTTTTTCAACTGTGGGTGCGTTACAATGTAAAGAAAAAATCTACCATTCTTTAGTAAAGAATAGCTCAAGACTTGGCAGTAAGTAGTATTGATTAGCTGCCTTCCATCTAGTATCACTTGAAAAATAGGGACAGTTAAAGGAAATATCCCTTTAGTAGCTTTGCGCGAAATGCAAAAAAAAAATAAAAAATAATATAGTTTGTTGTTAACGGCTGATTCACTTCAGTTAAATAATTTGTCACACATTACATATAAACAATTTAACTTATTACGAACAATACCGTTACAATTTAATACAGAATATGTCCCACATGTCTTCCTTAAACGTCATAAGCCTAAGTATCTGTTGTTTTTTTTTAAACAAAAGCAGTCAACCAGGCAAAAATTTGCCTTTCTTCAAGACTATGGGCCTAGTAACAAATCTCTTTATATGATATTGTTGCGTCAGCGAGTCACATGACCACTGTGACGCCACGTTTCTAGAACTATCTTGTTTCTT